TGCAAGTTAATAACAAATGCACATGTGACTATAGAATATATGCATCTATTAAAATCATATAATAGTAAACGGTCCACATGGCAGGTGACTGCGCCCATATATTTATCACCTTTTATTCGTTCCAGAAATCAAGGGATTCAATCCCAACCTTAACTGGTATATCATGAGAATAAGCAGCACAAGAGAATTCTTGAAGAATCTTCTATTATTCAATATATGTCAATGTAATTCTTAATTAATTTTTCGCATCATAATTGAACTGGGATGGTCAACCGGTCATGCCAACTAATATTTATCTGAGTAAACCACTAGTTTACTTGTGGCATATGATTCCAGCGTCATGCTTATATTTGTGTAGTATAAATAGAAAGAAAATCGGGTAATCTTTCATATTTACTCGGTATGATTATAGAAATATGAAGATATTCAATCTTCCTTTCATTTATAGTCTCAATATGCCAATCACTTTGACTTATACATTTGAAATTCAAAAAGTTTCTTTTGAGACTTTACAATATCAATGTCATGAATAATTTTATTAGTCCGGATAGTAACAAATTAGCTTTTTGGATCTCTTAACAACTTTTGTACTACAAGATCTTTTATCATACTATTCATATGGTAAATGTCTCCTTTACTGAGAAAATTATATCATAATAAATTGTCATGGTCAAAATTATCATAAGCAAAATTATTTCTTGCTTTAATTTTGCCTTTAATAATTTTTATAAGGCATGCCAAAATATTTTGGTGTATCACATGTACGATACCAATAACATATTCATGTAACCACACAATAATATTTATTCTCTTTATTTCACTCAAACCTCCCTCAAAGGTGAGTTGTGTGGTATTCATCCAATCATGTCTTGCATGTCTTTATTCATTACTTTTATCATATATTACCACATTCACCTTTAGGAATGGGTCTGCATTCTCAATGCTTATCACAAGTCACATTCTCTTCAAGGAATGGATCATAATCAGCAATGTGCTTCATACCAATTTGATGGTAAACATTGCCTTCACATTTCGAAAGACTATTTTGAGAACCCTTATTGTTCTCCTTTTATAATCATAGTGATGGTTATTATTATTTTGATATTTGGAACGCTCACGTTCATTGTTCAACCACATGTCTTCATTTAAACTTATTATGCACTGCTACCACATTCACTTCAAGAATGGAGCAAATCAAGTGGGACAATCTTCATGCCTTTAATGAAAAATATATTATTTTTCTTTAGTCATCATTTTATCATCAATATGATACAGTGGGACTCAAACCTAATGTCTTACCAATATAAAGGCATGTTAGACCATAATAAATTGGGACTCAAACCCAACTCTTATTATCATGGAGCATCAAGACTTGAATCTAATGGCTTATCGTTAATCAATATCATAATCTGCCAAAGTAAACTGGACCATAATATATTACCATTCACGATTATATGCATAAGTGAATTAAGTTTCAACAAGACATATAGAATATAATAACTCTTATGATCAGAACATTTGTTGTAAAAAGTTCAGATGGACCATAAATCAATGTCATAATATTTCCTGAATTAATTTTAGGATATTGCTATTGTAGGGGCTAATTTAAGACAAACAACATAAAGAATATTTCCAAATGTATGTATCGGGGTGATGTTCTATCCATACAATTTCAATTGAAAATAGATTGTGGGTAAATTGTACTTATAATTTTGAAATCATGTAAACATAGAGTCGTAATACACCTTTAATTATAATAATAATTTTGATAGTCACAAACCTCTCCAACTTGGTAATTATTTTAATGTCGTGATCATCATTATAAATGTAAGTCTAAATCCACATCAAACAAATAATACCAAATCTCATGCATAAAGAATCAAAATACGTAGGAAGGGAAAGACCAAAGATACTGCTATAGTTTGGTGCTAAGTCATCCCCCCTTTTTTTTAAATCATTAAATTTATGTAATATTAATAAACATTATGATCTCTAAGATGCCATATATTTCTGCATAACATGCACAAACTCATAAAAACACCACTATAATTAATGAAATCAAAGAAATCTTACGAATGTTTGTCTGCAAAACTATAATTATTTTATCGTATAATATAAACTACATTAGCATTTAATCACAAAATAATTTAATATTAGAATGCATAGTGAAACTCACTCCTTGGACAATAGAGATCTTGTACATCTCACCTTCTTAAATTTTCACTTTGGGTTTAGTTTAAGCAACAATTATGTTCTTTACTGATACTTAGGACTAAAACTCTACGAGAAGAAATTTCATATTAGATATAATTTCTTGGGATTAAAGAACATTAAAATAGATATTTGTGTAGTGGTGTGAATGTATAAACTATTACATTATGAAGAAAAATTAGAATAAAGTTATCTTGCCGCCAAAATTGGTATTGGCCAACGCCATGAAAATTAAAGAGCACTTGCCACATAATCTTGATAGAAGATTATGAAATGAGCTATTCGTGCTGATAACATGTTATGAAATATAACTCAAAGTAACAATATGGAACAAGGAAATAAAAGCAATTTAGTAAAACATGAACAAGAAATAGAGATAGAGAGAAGGAAGAGGTTTTCTTCTTCAATTGTGTGTATTTTCCTATTTATTACAATGCCTTTATATAGGCATGAAAAGTGAAGAAAATACGTCATGGAATATGTCATTGAACATTTGACATGAAGATCATGGAGGAAGAGTAGACATTCACCATAATATGATATTTATCGTAACATAAATGAAGTTGAATTAATTTTACTCGCAGCAAGATCAGCAAATTATGGAGTGAAATTCATGATTTTTACAAGAGCTTTTAGTATAATTAGTATTTTGCTTTTGCTATTGATTTAATTTCATCACTGAAATTGTCATCATTAGTTCAGGGGAAGCGATATTTCCCTTCCTACATCGCTTGTCCAGCAAATATAGTCAAAAGGTACAACTTTCCCCTTGTATCGCCATTAACCCTTAATTACGTTTTGGTGATTCGTTGCCCCTGCCCCCCTAGTTTTTACCTTCAAGTTTTTCGAGAGAAATTCGAAAATAGTCAGATTTACAAATGGTCATTCAAAATAGCCACAGTTTTATAAGTAATTAAAATTTAGCCACTTTTCATATAAAGATAAATCTGAACGAAAATACTGTTCAAAATCCGGAAAAATACTCCAATATAATATACTAGAACTCCAGTATAATATACCGGAGTCCCAGTAATATACCGGTCCAGCATAATATACTGGAACTTTTCGCGTGTTGGAGTTCCAGCATAATATGCTAGAAGTTCATACACAGGTGCACCGATATCCAGAATATTAAGCTGGAACTTTCCGTGTTGCAGTAAAACAGTGGCTATTTTTTAATGACTTTACAAATGCTAGCTATTTTTAAATGATCAGTCCGAAAACTAGCTAGCTCGTGCTATTTTTACAAGTTTTTCACTTCGTCCTTCTATCTCCTGAGATAAATATAAGTGACCCATCCATGACTATAACTTTGCATGCCCTTTTTAATTTTTTTAATTTTTTTCTTACAAGGAATCCAATGGCACACGTTAGTTTTCTTCCCAACACCATCAATAAGGATATCTAGTCTAACAAAACGGTAGTGCTTTTAGCCAAATAGAGGTTCACTTCGTTATATTGCAAATAAGTTACTCAAGAGTCTATCAAATGTCTATAGCAAATTGAAGTCGGGTTGACGGATCACTAGTGCAAATCTCATCGATTGAAGAATCTTCAGAATGAGTGAATCCCCTCAATATAATCTGTAAAGAATACAATGCTGGGAACAGGAAAATAATTGAAAGGGAAGACAAAAGTTGAGAAGTAACAGAGAGCAACGACGAACTTTCTGTTGCTTTCTTTCTTTTTGTTTGTTCTCTTCCCACGTTGACTTAATTGAAAAGTTTATTTTTTGCACCTTTGAGAAATTGGTAACTTGACAAATTGACAATGAAAATCAGGATTCAAATCCCAACATTGTATGACTTTTTCTCATCCAACTCTGGTGGACAGATATACCCGATCCCTTTGCTAGCAGAAGATATTAGTCAAGGCGCGCATAAATTGAACCACACACCCCCATTATCTACGGAAGAAAAGGAGAGAAGGATAACACTGTCAACTTAAACCAATAGTTCTACAGTTATAAGGTGGGCAAAAGGTTTTTCCGGAGCAATAGCTGTTCCCTTAGTTCGGTAAAAGGATTGCTCACATTAGCTTATCAAGTTTCAACATATAAGGCAGGTTTGTGTAGAATATAGGACTCGAATGGAATTTCAGCTTGGCTTTTGCGTCGTAGTTGTTTTAGAACTCGGTATAACTAACAGGCTAACGACGAAGGACCCTATAAAAAAACTTTATAATTCATAGATATGTGTATCCAGCTATGATTATGAATTGAGAAGTCAGTTAATTTGCCACACTAAAAAAAGTATAAACGTCCTATTCAAGAGAGTTCATTTTCAACACAATAAGGTAATGTACAGAACAAACCATATGCTATCTAGCCCACCAAGAAGGAATAGATTTGTTGATCAATGTGCTAGCGCTTGTGGTTGACTCTAATCTGCAATTAAATAGGAATTTATTCTCTAAAACAATTTACAAGTTTTGCATATAAAGCTGGAATTAAAAAAAGATTATGACAAATGCAAGTGACAGTGAAGTGACACACAGGTGTCCCATTCTAGTATGTGCTTGTGTATCCGTGTGTGTGTGTGTGTGTGTGTGTGTGTGTGTGTGTGTGAGAGAGAGAGAGAGAGAGAGAAACAAACTTTGTAATCTCCTCAATGGCTTTCATAACTTCAACAGAATCTGTTTCTAGCACTTGACCACCTAAAATTATTTCATCTAAAATGGTATGCATCTGTGGAAGACAATCATTCATTAGATATAAATATGCATAAAATAGATGAAGACTAATACTTATTGATACCACACAAAGCAAGAGAAATGGCATTTGAAACGTATTGCACAGGATGAAGCTTGTGTAAAATTGTGAATACGCCCAAGCTTTTATTACTAGAATCTTTATGTATGTTAAAGAGGTGACCGTATGCTGGTTATAAGTTATAACAGGGAAAAGTCGCAATGGTGCCCAATATTGGGAAAAGCGGTATTGTCTGGAATAAGGAGTCCATGTAAACATATAATGCAAATGTTATGAACAAAGTTCATTATCGAGGGAGCATGATATTTCCGCAACTAATCAGAACATAGAAAAAGGGAAGTTGATTTATGAGACTTCTTAATGGTGTATTCCACCAGTGTATCCAATTGATCTTCCAGATAAGAAAAGATATTTGTGTTTCAAAGATAAGTATATAAATACAACAAATAGGTCAGTGCAATACTCTACCTTGCTATAATTGAATACCACATCAAGCTCGCATACACTTCTGAAGCATTTGTCCAGTGTTTCCACAAAAACTGATGTAAAGAGAACAACATCATCAACAAGAGCTAAGACGAACAAATCATTGAAGTAATTCCATTCAAATATCAGTATCAGTCACTAGACATGACACAAGGTTCTATTAACACAAGTAGCAACTTACAAGATGAGAAAACCATATCAGAAGATGATCAAGAATTCGATGGTAAAAGAAACATGGCGAGGAATACAGCGCAAAATCTTTAGAAAAATAGACTAAGACATGCAGGGAGAAAATACACTTGTAACAATAAATCATGAAGGGAAAACATTCTTCCCCGAACTTTATTTTTAGTATTAAATAAAAGCATTGAAGAAGCAACTATCCACTTATTTATGAATTAAGCCCATCCCAGAAAATCGAGACCCATTTGCTTGGGTTCATGCAACGTCAACAATTTGTGCGATATCATTGCAAGTGTTAATAATAAGTAAACCACGCCGAAACTGATGTCCAAAAGCTTGGTAGTACTTTTAAGTTTTAATACGAATATCTTCCTCCCCATTGCTTGGAGAAAATTATTCCTTCCAATAACAAAAAGAAGAAGCTCTATTGAACCATATCATTGCACATCCCATATTTTGAGTTGTTTTCACCTGTTATTTAACTAGCCTTGGTTCGCCACCTTGAGTTCCACCTACTCTTCCTATTATCAATCATTAAATTTACCTACCATAGAATTTGATAAGCCACGTATCTTCCAGAAGAAGCAAAGAAATTTAGGAGAAGATAATTCCTGGAGCTTTCAGTTATTAGAAGTTTATTAGAAGTTATCTGTTTAGCAGTTTTATTATGGTTATTAGAAGTTATTTATCTTTATCCTAATAGGTTATGCAGTATTTATGGTCAGCCTATTATATAAGTAATAGATCATGTAATGTGTAGGTTTCATTATCAGAATCAAAACTACTTTATTCTGGAGCATTGTCCTCTATATACGGATAACTTTATTGGTGTAGTTGTGTTTAAGATTCTTGCACAAACTATTGCCAATAATATTAACTTCTTTGCTCTATTTAATCTGTTATCCACTTCTGGTTTCTATCAATTTGGTATCAGAGCAGTAAGATCTGCCATGGTGAACACGCGGACCAATGCTTCCCACAGTGAACTCACCATTCCTACTCTTGACCCGATTTCCCAACAATTGACGACTATAGCAGCGAAACTGGAAGCCATAGATGCTTTAGCCGCTGATGTGGCTGCATTAAAAGCACAACACAGTGGAGATCACATCAACAAAGGGAAAGCTAAAGTCATACCAGAAGAGGGTGAGGTTAACAACACTTGGCATCAAGAAACTTTCACGCGCTCACGGACAAAGATGGAATTTCCAAAGTATGAGGGAGGAGATCCTAGAGGCTGGATTTTAAAAGCAGAGAAGTATTTCCAGTACTATCAAACTTCCGAGGAATGCAAGGTTGATGTGGCTTTGATGTACGTGGAAGGAGATGCATTAGATCTTTTCGCTTGGATCAACAGTGAGCGAACCATTTACTATTGGGACGAATTGGTGAAAGTAATGCAAGAAAATTACGGACTAGCTGAGTTTCAAATCCCTGATGAACATCTCTGTGATATCCAACAAACTGGAACAATGTTTGAGTATAGGCAAGAATTTGCAAAACGAGCAGCGCGTGTGCAAAATTGGCCAGAACACTATTTGCTTGGAGTTTTCCACAGTGGGCTGAAAGAAGACCTTCGCGTGGATGCTAGGATTCACAAACCTCGATATGTGTACAAGGCAATGAGCCTGGCTTTAGAATATGAAGGAAAACAGGGACCTAATCGGTCCAGTAAGGCACCCACTTTGCCTTCTGTATCACGACCTCCTTCAGTTGGGACATCATCTCCTGCGGCTCGAGAATCCTTCGATTTTCTGTCATCCCGCCAACCAGTTACACGTCCTTTTCAACCACCACCACTTCCAAACACTCGCCCGTTGACTCCTGAACAACAAATTTGGCGAGACAAAGCCCTTTGATATCGTTGGGGAGAAAAGTTTAGCCCTGATCATCGCTGCAAACCTGGGACTTTTGCTCATCTAGAGTTGATGCAAGAAGAGAACGACACACAGATTGTGAAAGATAACAACAAAAATGACATGTTTCCTACTAATGTGGGCACAATTTCTCGAACTTCGCCTTGAGGACAAGTCGTCTTTCCAGGAGGGGTGTACTGATAAGCCACATATCTTCCAGAAGAAGCAAAGAAATTTAGGAGAAGATAATTCCTGGAGCTTTCAGTTATTAGAAGTTTATTAGAAGTTATCTGTTTAGCAGTTTTATTATGGTTATTAGAAGTTATTTATCTTTATCCTAATAGGTTATGCAGTAGTTATGATCAGCCTATTATATAAGTAAGAGATCCTGCAATGTGTAGGTTTCATTATCAGAATCAAAACTACTTTATTCTGGAGCATTGTCCTCTATATACGGACAACTTTATTGGTGTAGTTGTGTTTAAGATTCTTTTACAAACTATTGCCAATAATATTAACTTCTTTATTCTATTTATTATGTTATCTACTTCTGGTTTCTATCAGAATTCTTGTGATAAAGTTAAGGAGACTACCTTAAACATGACCTTAAAAATGTGATTTCCCTTCAACAAAACAAAGGTAAATAAGGGAAACAAGTACCTTGTATTAGGTCGAGCATGGCCAACTCATTCTCAGAGTTATCAAATAGAAACACGAAATATAAGGTAGCATAGTGCTTATACACGAGCCTTGTATCCTGGAAAAGATATAGCAGTGGCTTTTAAAATAATTTACTCTTTATACTTGAGAGTATACAATAATCTTCTTAATTTGTACTGTATCACATAGAGGAGTTCGCAACAATTTAAAGCAGTGTAGCATTTAAGTTGTTGCCTATTTGATAGTGTCCATAGAACTGCACTTATCCCATTTCGGTCCATCATTTATCCGATTTTAATCAAATATTAATTAGCTAAAATCTTACTAGTCAATTGGAGAGTAAATTTTCTGAATGGATGTAACTACCCACTTGATGGAAGATGATAACTAACCTAAAACTACTGAGAAATAATCTTCTCTCTACCTAACAAAGAAAACAATGTTCTCAAAAAGGGTGAGGGTAGAGAAATCAAGTTTTCTAAAGTTTCATGTCCACCTTTTCAAGAATTTGCATAGGATCAAAGTACATTTTCTAGATAAAATGTTCTTATTATATATATTGTGAAATTACTGACGTTTTAAGATTATGAAATTATGTGTATCTGATAATGATTGATTGTTGAATACTTGAAATCTAAAGGATATTGCTAGGACCAAAAGAATAAACAAGGAGAAAATGAAGTAATTTACCTGACCGAAAATTGAACCTAAGCTCCGAATAAAATTGCTCACATTTTCAGGTCTGTTGCTTAACACTGAAAGAAGAAACAAAAACTCATCTAACAGTCAACATTCAACTGAACGAAACCTCAGCTTCATCGAATTGTGTGCTTACCTGCGTATACATGACGTATGAGCTCTTGTTGCTTCTCCGCTGGCTAAATTCAATTCCGACAACAAAATTGAAAAACTTTATTGAGAAATTCAGCAGAAATTAAACAGATTGAATCAAAGATGGATCTTAGAAATAGCAAAAGATAATATGAGGGGACAAACCTGAAATTCGTAGAATTTGGAAAGGCGAGGCTTGCCGAGGGTGTTAATCACCATTACCGCCTTTATCATTTCTTCCTGTTGAATCTCAGAACAAACTGGCAAAAGCTACTCTGTTGTCCCACTCTGTCTGTATTCTTCCTCCAGCAATATTGTAATAAAATTGCATAAAGGAAATTACAAAGTGGTCCGTATTTATTGCTAAATTTTACTTTAGTACTCGTAATATCCAAATAAGCACATTTCACTCTGATTTGATAGAGTTGTGTACATTTTATTCCGACTAGGCGACTAGCGAACGAAAATTTTAGAGCAATTTATGCAAAATACCCATTGAGCTTAAAATAATTATCTTTTCTTATCTATTTAAAAATTATTTACAATATATACATACCTAATTAAACTAATTACCGTTACACCTATTGTATTGGTCAAAATCAGACCACTTCGATCAGGGCGGTCACGACCGCATTTTTGCCACTGGGTAAGAAGCCAATAGAGTCAATCCAAACCCTCTTTTAATACATTCAACCCAATAACAACGAGGGGACCTTACTTTCCCAGGCACGCCAAAATCGTGGCAAGGGTAATAGGGTTTTTCGACTATATATACAAGTGCGAGTAAGCCCCAAAGAGGGGGGGGTCTTCTCCTCTGGGAGCATTCTCACAAAATAAAGAGACGAATAGAACCCCACCGGAAAGGAAAGAAATGAAGGTTTTCCGTATGAAGAAGAAGGAGGGAGCTCCATCCCTGTACCCCGAAAAGGGCAAAACAATTGTAATTCTTCTTCCCCCTCTATGGAGAGGGAAGGCAGCGCTCAATTTTGAATAAAATCTTTTGGTGCTCTATTCATCTAATGTGCAATTGTTGTCATTCAATCTTTCGATCTGGTATTAATTAAGTTTGACTACGATTTACCCCTTCATCTTTGATTGATTTGTTTAAAAAGAGTTAAAAATCTTTTGAGTTAAACAATTTGGCGCCGTCTGTGGGGATTTCCTAGTGAAAACTCCTAGTTTTTCCTGGATCGAAGCTAAGAAACACGAGAAGAGAGCCCAACTCACACCAGATTTGGAGGCAGCGCGCTGAGGGAAAAGAAATCAAACAGATTCGCGAGGTCGGGAACTCCCCGCTCTATCGGCTTCGAATATCTCGGACAAGGCGAAAGGTGCTGCAATCCAGTTTCTCCCCTTCTCTCAAAGCCGCCGTGCAGAGGCAAGGAACATCTCATCCTCATCCCCCACACTCCGTCAAACTGGGTAAATGAAACCCATGCGAGCGAACGAACGCAGGGGTAGCTAGATTGAGGAACCAGAAATCATTTTGGCACAGCCGAAACCCTCCCGGTCGATGGCATCTTCAAAAAAACGGCCAAAATCGAACGAGAAACTACATCACGCATGCAACGCAAGCCTATGCAAAATATTAACACCTCGTGTCCGTGGCGTTGAACCATCTGATGCGAGCAATGCTGACCAAACTGGGACTTCCGCGAAAAGTATTCGCCATCAAAGTAAAAGCAGGATTCGACCTCGTTCGAATCACGACGGGTTGTTATTTCGATAAGTTCGAAATAACACCCTTAAGGCTAAGGACCTTCGCCATCAAAGTAAAAGCAGGATTCGACCTCGTTCGAATCACGACGGGTTGTTATTTCGATAAGTTCGAAATAACACCCTTAAGGCTAAGGACCTTCGCCATCAAAGTAAAAGCAGGATTCGACCTCGTTCGAATCACGACGGGTTGTTATTTCGATAAGTTCGAAATAACACCCTTAAGGCTAAGGACCTTCGCCATCAAAGTAAAAGCAGGATTCGACCTCGTTCGAATCACGACGGGTTGTTAGTTCGATAAGTTCGAAATAACACCCTTAAGGCTAAGGGCCTTCGCCATCAAAGTAAAAGTAGGATTTGACCTCATTCGAATCACGACGGGTTGTTATTTCGATAAGTTCGAAATAACACCCTTAAGGCTAAGGGCCTTCGCCATCAAAGTAAAAGCAGGATTTGACCTCGTTCGAATCACGACGGGTTGTTATTTCGATAAGTTCGAAATAACACCCTTAAGGCTAAGGTCCTTTGCCGTCAAAGTAAAAGCAGGATTCGACCTCGTTCGAATCACGACGGGTTGTTATTTCGATAAGTTCGAAATAACACCCTTAAGGCTAAGGTCCTTTGCCGTCAAAGTAAAAGCAGGATTCGACCTCGTTCGAATCACGACGGGTTGTTATTTCGATAAGTTCGAAATAATACCCTTAAGGCTAAGAGCCTTCGCCATCAAAGTAAAAGTAGGATTCGACCTCTTTTGAATCACGACGGGTTGTTATTTCGATAAGTTCGAAATAACACCCTTAAGGCTAAGGGCCTT